GTAGATGCATAAAAACTTCATCAAAGTGAGGTGGAATAATTTGAAACGTATCATCTTGCAAGCAGCAGAAGCATAGACAAGGCACGTATACTCTATGACAGAAGAAGCTTTGGGAAAAAGGAAGAAGAGAAGAAATAACCGTGGACTAATAATATGGATTGAAAGCTTAGCAGATCTCATAAAAAAAAAGAAGAATGCCAATCTATAATATCTTTCCTCTAGAACTCTTCGCAACAAACAAGAATATAAAAGATTATCAGCAATAGTTAATAAAGAAGTGTGTTGTATGAATTGCCAGAGCTGGGAAATATTCCTTAGTGAAATGGAACATGAACTGCATGGAAGATAGACAGAAGCCTTCAAAATATTAAAATAACTTAATAAGAATGAGAAAGACAATACAAATTAATTTGATTCAGGATGACAAGTGGCTTCATTATCTTGCAAATGTATGGACAAGTGAGGACCAGCAAAAAGGGGAAATAGCTTTCAAGGAAGAAACAGTTGACTCGTTAACAATGAACGAGTTGAAGAGGGTTCTTAAACTCATTAAAAGTAGAAAAGCGCATGGGACACCCAACATCAACAATGAACTCTTCAAATATGCACCTGAAAGGTTTTCCCTAGAGCTGCTAGACTTTATTAATACTTGCTGGATATATGGTAATATCCCAGGAGAATGGTGGACTGCTGTGGCCATACCCTTATATAACAAGGGTGACAGGAAGAACTGCTCTAATTATAGAGATACAAGCCTTTTGAATTCTGGATTCAAAATATATGCCAAAATTATAAATTAGATGCTAGCATTCATTTCAGATGTGCTCTTATTAGACAACTGAAATGGGTTTAGGAAAGGCAGATCTTGTATGGATTGCATACAAGCCTCACAGAATTATGAATGTTTTATTTATAAAACTCAATTGAAAAACATATTACAAGTGGTACTCTAGGTTAGCGGTGAAATCGTGCAGGAGAAGCCAAATGCTTCAAAGAGTTACAAATTGCGTGACTCATTTCCTGTAATTCAGGTGCCTCAGAAATTAGCAATTGTAGATTTAGAAAAGGCATTTGACACTGTGAAGCGATCAAAATTGTGGGAGATATTGTTAAGAAGAGAGATTCCACAACATCTAGTAAGAGCCATTTGTAGTATGCATGTGGATACTACTTTAAAAGTAAATACAGGAGAACAGTAATGAATGAATAAATACAGAATAATAAATAAAGGTGTGAGACAGGGGTGTCTCATGTCACTCATTTTTTTAATACATATTTTGTTGACATGATTAGACAATGGGAAAGCCAATTGAAAACAAATTTTATTGGAAAAATTGTCTTGAACACATTACTATTTGTATATGACTAGGTTATCTTAGCAGAATTGGAAGAAAACCTACAAAGAACCCTCTTTAAATCTTTTTAACATTGCTCAAGATTTTAATTTGAAATTATCCACATTCAAAACCATTGTCAAGGGTTTTAAAGGAGTCTTTGACAAGTTTCAAATTTTAATTATTTGAGATACATTATAGCCTATGATTGTACTAAAGACCTAGAACAAAAACTCTCTAAATTCCTGCTGCTACTTGGTACAATGAAGAAAGTAAGAAAAGAAACTGTTCTTAAATTCTTTAGAACTATGGCTGTTCCCATCCTCTTGTATGGTGCAAAGGCATGAGTGTAGAGACAACCCAACAGAGAAAAATGATAGAAGCAATAGAAATGAGGTTGATGAGACCACTAGCGGGATACCCTCTGTGGGACCACAAGAAAAACGAAGTACTTCAGGTTTGCAATTGGATGCATATACATCCCAATGCTATGCCCCTTTCAGAGAATGGATAGCTTGCACATCCCTCTTCAAAAGTTTGAGTACAGACCTCAAAGCAGAAGAAATGTAGGACATCCATGACTGCAATGGAATAACCAAATGAAACTCCTGGATATGCAACAGGCCTAAAGGCCGAATTCATGATGTAAATGATGAACAATTTTATTATGAAACTGCAAAAATTATAGTTTATCTTCTGTAATAATTTATTATAGTAAATGTTTTTAATTCTCAAGTTAGTTTACAATCACAAAATTAAATTAATGTCACGTTTAATGTCACATTAATGTCATGTAATATTTAACTTTTCACTTATTTTTCATTTTACATTATTTTTTCTCATCTTCATGGAGAAAATTGTTGGTTGTTGCTATCTAAAAGATCAATCTTGTTTTATTGAGTGATTTTCATTCAATTTCAATTTTGAACTCATTCTCTAAAATTATGCTATTTGTAGTTACCTAGTAATTGAATAAATATTTGAATAGAAATAGGCTTATCTATTGGATCCTTTGCAGTGTAGCTTTTGTATGGACTATTCCACTCAAACTGCAGTGCTTTATCTGAGAGATGAGCTGCATGGTAATATTAATGAATGGATAGAATATTAATGAATGTATAGTATTTTTATTTAATTTCAGTAAAGCATTCGATTTATTATTTTATGTTTTTAATTTATATTTGTCTTGCAATTCTTGTTGTCTCTGGCCATTTTCTTAAGATAATTTTCTTTTTCTTTTGCTTTTAATACAGTCAATGATTCCAAGAAATACATTGATGAAATTCCTCATTATTCTTCTGTTTTACTTGGAATAAAAGATCTTTCAAAATGTAATAGTCTTTAGACAATGCCAGTGACAACATATGATTATTTAATGTTTTCAGGCATGATGTTTTCAATGGTTATTAGCCACATGAGAAACAGGGTCAACCTACAATTTGGCTTGTTGGAGGGTTGTCCTTCCATGTATCTCCCTCCCCCTTCCATTCTCAGTCAGCACTTAAAATCAGTTGTCTTGGAATACTCACAAACCATTATTTGTTTTCAAACAAGTTCTCGTTAACTTGAAAAATAATTTAATAGAATGTTTCACCGAGCGAAGTGGCTGAGTGCGTAGCGTGCTGACTTCGTATTCGGGAGGTCTGGGTTCGATTCCTGGGCTGGCCGTCCTGACCGGGGTTTTTGTGGTTTCCCTCGGTCATAAGGCAAATGCTGGGATGGTTCAAAAAGTCCATGATCACCTTTCACCAATATCCTATCACCTCCTAATCCATTAATAATAATCACACTTCAAGGCGTAACAACCTTGTTGTAATCCAAAGGATACAGCTGAAAAGCTAATCCTGGAAGAATTACACACGTTAATCGTGTAGTGTGGTCAGTAATGACCTATACGCCAATAATAATGATAATAATAATAAAATGTTTCTTATTCTGTTCTGTAAAAACCAATGACCTTGAAGGTCTGAATAATTGAAAACAAGAGAAGATATTGCAAACATTTTTCTTTAACTAATGGATGTGCATCTCATAAATTTATCACACCTAAGAATAATGAGCAAAGTAAATGATCTAATACAATTCTATTTAACTAATTTTAGAATATAAGCAAATATTGTTATTAAAGAACAAGGTAATTAAAGACATATTCAAGACTTCGATAAGGGAGCACATATACTCTTGTAGTTTCTATCATTTCATTATCAATATGGTATTCTCACATCTAGCAACACATGTTCTGAATTCATTTGTTACAGATGTTCAAGAAAATTTTGCTGGAATGATATTGTTTCACACATTGATGTCATTTCTAAATTTCGATTGGATTTCTTCATTTTTATTATGTTCTAATAGTTTATAAGCTTTTAATGGTCTTACCAGTATTTCTGTTGCTTGTACTTTTTGTATGTTGTCTCATTTTGTGAGGGTTATGTCATTGAACCCTTTTGAAATGACAGTATGGTTAAAACTTCATAAGCTCTTACAACAGTATCTTCTTTGGCTTTATAATTAAATTTTTATGTTAATGTTCTAAAAATGCGCTAGTTAAAGAACGACATACCTACATTCTTCTGGACATGAAATTTACGACGTTTTATGAAATAAAAAACAAAGAGTAGAGCCGATGATTTCAGGAAATACAGTAATAGAGTTTCTCATTATTCTTCTATTTTTCTTGGAATACAAGATCTTTTAAATATTTATTAACACAGAAAAAGAAGAAATAAACGTAATTTTGTAACAATTATTAGATTATTATATTTACTAAACAATTATTAAAATACCTATTCTCTAAAGGAAAATACAGAGAAATGAAACTCTTTACTACTCTCAAAACCTATTCTTCATTACTACTATTTACAGCATCATTTTTACTTCAATTCACATTATTTACATTTATTTTCAATTTCAACTAACTTAAGATCAACTACAGATCAACACTAAAACAGTTAAAGGTATTAACTTCTTGCAAGTGCTTATTGTTAATTCTATTTTTGTCTCTTTCTATTTAAGATGAACTTTATAATGCTAAATGTGCATTTGTGTAATAAAGACTCCAATTCATTAATTTGCATTCAAGGAATTAATATTTATCTCTAATATACCTTTTAATTTAATGTAAAATAATTTACATACATATCTCTCATTAAATTATAAAATTGTTTGCTCAATGCTACAGATCTGCTTATTCCTGAACATTTCAGAACCAAATTTATATCAAAATGTCTACTTTTATTTAACTATATTAACTATATTTATTTAAATAATAAAACTACAAATTTTGAAATTACCATTACATTACAGTGGACCAGGAAATTCTCTTCGCAATGGCACCAGCGGCTGGTGTGAGTGCTAGCAACAGAAATTATGTTTGTAACACAAACTGCAGCATGTAGCAAATGAAACTGTAAATTGCGATCTCACCACAATTGTAATAGATGCTGGAACTGTTATTTCCTTCACTTGTTTCCCAGTGATCCAGTTGCTACAAACAAATGCAATATTTAATATAAGCTCCTGATTAGACTCGGTGTGGAGAGACTTTTCTGGTGCACTGTACAATTACAATTATTTAAAATGGTATGTCAGTCTTCTTAAACAATTTTAGCACTCTCAAAAAGAACCATATAGTTGATGGTTTCAATGACATCAATGAAATCACTATCACAATATCTTAATTTTTATCTCAAACATTTCTTTTCTTTCACGAATTATAAAACAAATTATAAGTTTCTTCATAAATACTTCAAAATGTTTGTATCTTATGGTGTTATTAGAATGTTAACAACTAATGAATGAAGAAAATATAAGATTTAAGGATATTCTACAGGTTCCTAACCTGAAAGAAAATTTTGTATTTGTTACAAAACTTGTGGACAATGAATATTTATTTCTATGACTACGTGAAAACGTTTGAATTATATTAAGTATTTAATAATTAAATTATATTAAGTATTTAATAAAAGCCATAGACCTATGCTAAGAAAATGCTCAGAGTATTCAATAGACAATTTAATTTTACACAGATTTAGAGATTCTTCACCTTTCTAACAGTTTGGACTTTGGAGAGAGCTACTAAAAAAGAGCTTAATTTCTAAAAATGTAATAGACTATTCAATTTTTCTCATTTTGAACATTACATCCTAAGAAGTATAACCCATGGTCCCTGAGGAAGACCGAAGGTAAAGGACATATTAAAACACAGCTTGGAAAGGTTATTGGTCATAAATTAAAAATAAATTTATTTTCTTATAGGAAGCAATATTTTTCAAGTAGCAAATGTATTATCTATAATGAATTGTAACATCAGACACTAGATATTGTTTATCTACAAAAATTTGAAATTTATGGAACCTAATGTGTTTTCATCAGTTTATGGAGTAGCAAATATTAGTAAATTAATTGAATTGAATTACAAAGTTCAATTAGGAATCAAAACTATGTGATTTTGTTACTTGATTTTTAAATTTTTGAAAACTTGCGTCTGCCAAAAAGCTCTTAAGATATGAATGAATAGTAACAATTTTCTGTTTTTTTTATGCATAAGAATAAAAATAGAAAGAAAAATTTGATAATAATTCCACAGAATGTATTTTAGTAGGATATTCTGAGAACATGTATGCTACAAATTAGAGGGATATTTTATCACACCAAGTTTATTAATTTACAGGTCCTAATGGATGACAAAGATAATGAAAGAGTTCCTTTTTTTACCAATAGACTTGATAGAATATACGATAAGGCAACTCCTAAATTTGATGCTAAAATAGTATTCGATTTCAATGCCCTTATGGGGAAGGATGTGACCTTTGTGTCCAATTCAGAACAATATAGACTTCAAGACGAGAATATCGATAATGGGGGAAGAGCGGTGGAATTTGCCATGTCAAATAATTTGACCATTGGTAGCACACAATACCGACATAAAGAAATCCATAAGTGATCTTGGATATAACAACATATGGACAATTAGACCATATAACAATTGATTCCTGTCATAAAAGTAACATTTTGAATGTTAGAACATTGAGAAAACCAGTCTGTCTTGCATCATTTTCTTGTAAGAGCTAAATATAGACAGAAAATATCACTTAATAGAACAAAGAAAGCTGATCATATAATAAGATGTGGCACAGAAAAATTAAATGGATTGTGATAATAGGAAAATTCAAGGAGGAAATAGAAGACTTCCAAGAAAGGCAATCCCCAGGGGCAGAAGAAGGAGAATTAGAAGATAGATGGCAGAAAATTAAAAAAAAAGGGGAAAAATGGTTTGATGAAGAGTGTAGAATGATGAAACAAGAGGCAAAAGAGAAATAATACGTTAATAAGATGCAAGTCCTTATGGCTAGCTGTTGGTCAGCGTGCTCGCTTTCCACTACATAGCCCTGGGTTCGATTCCCAGTGAGGCAAGATTATAGTGTGCAATGTCCCAGTATACATTGCTGTGTGATGATGAGAAAATTCACTTCTCAGGTTGAGTAGACCGGAATGCAGCATAGGGATGTCAACGTGCTAAACACATGTACTCCCTTAATCCATGGCCGTGAGGCTGGAACTTTGCCGGTAGGCCTGAGCCTCTTCATGGGCTGTCGTGCCAAGAACATTCATGCATACGTACAGAAGTAATGTAATGGAGTATGAGGAATCAAGACGTAAGGCCAAGAAAGTAATTCAGAAAAAGAATAGACAATATGAAGAAGAAAACCATGATTATGAACAAAAATTAAATGTTAGGGATGAGATTAGAAAGTTCTATGAAAGAATTAAAAATTATAAAGGTGGATATCAACCTCCAATATTTATGTGTAGAGATAAAGAAGAAAATTTAGTACGGAAGATAAAGTAATGAGCAGTTGGGCAGAACATTTTCATCAACTTGTAAATAGAGTAATCCAATATAATCAAGTAATTCAACATAAGGATATGATTAATTTTTAAGGTTCAGACCTGAAACTTAAAAAATCCACAAGAAACAAAATAACTATAAACAGCTACAAGAAAACTGAAAAATAATGAAGCCCCAGGATAGGATGTATATCTGCAGAATTTATAAAAATTAGACCCTGAACGCTGTGGAAAAATGTACATAATTTAATATGAATAATATGGATAGAAGAAAGAATACCAAAAGATTAGTAAATGTCAGCTTTAAACCATATACATAAGAAAGGGAATAGAATGGAATGCAAAAACTACAGAGATATAGCTTAGTTGAGTACCGTTTATAAAATATTCTCAACTATTCTGGCAATACATTAAGAAGACGTATATACGTTATGATCAAATCATGGGGGATTACCAAAGTGGCTTTAGAAAGAGCAGAAGCACCACAGACCAAATATTTTGCCTAAGACAAGTGTTGGAGAAAGCATATGAACAGAAGGTAGAGATACATCAACTGTATATAGATTGTAAACAAGCATATGACACTATAGACAGGGTTGAAATGATTAAGGGATTATATGAAATTGAAGTACTATTTAAAGTGGGAAGATTGATACAAATGACTCTTCAAGGCTGAAGTAATATCATTAAATTTCAGGGGAAAATATTTAAAGAATTCACACACAACATGGATTCAAGCAAGGAGATGAACTGTCTACTAAGTTGTTTAATATATGCCTGGAGAAAATATTATGGAATATAGAGATTAATCCTAATGAAACATTTTTTAATAGAACAATACAAATTTTGGCATGGCGGGGTGATAATTAGTAGAACACAGAAAGACATGGAAGAAGCATTAGAGCAACTGATGGAAGAAGCTCAAGGCATGAGTTTGGAAATAAATGGAGAGAAAACAAAGTATATGAGAACAATAAGAATAAGTATCAGTAAACCAAAATAAATGAATCTAGGAAACAGAAAAGATTGAATGGGTGAATTCCATACAATACTTAGGTTCTCTAATCATGGAAAACAACATCTTAGAGCAGGATATTAAGAAGAGAATAGTGGCAGGGAATAGATATTATGGAATTCTCTGCCAAAAGCCGCATAATCTCAAAGAATGCTAAGCTGAAATTGGTATTGACCAATTGTGAAACATGGACTCTAAAAACAAAACAGCAAACATAGAATGGGAGAGAAAAATCTTGCAAAGACTATTGAGCAATCAAAGAAAATGAAATTTGGAGAAGTCAAGCTAACACAGAATCGGAAGAACACCCAAAATAGCTACTTGTATTAAGGTGATAAAACTGGAATGGTAGGGTCACCTAAATCGAACGAATGAAGAGAGATCTGTTAGAAAGGTGTATGTAGGGAGTATGGATGGCAGGAGAGGAAGAAGTAGGTCTAGATTAAAATGGAACGATTAGGCAGGGCCATTTTAACAGCTTTGGGGGCCCTTAGGCCTACGTTAATTTTGTATCCCCTATTCTTACTTTCACCGATCTCCCCCCCTCCCCCATTTCAAGACAAGTTTTGTTAACAGAAACTAAACTTCTCGGCACTGAGTGACATTCGTGCATCATCCAGCAACTTTCCATTATATAAATAAATGCCATTTTTTGTATATAGTTTAATCATACACCACTTTGAAAAAATTTAGTATTAAATACTTTTTTAAGAACTATTGAGGAATCTTTAACATTGGAGGCTCTGGACCCATGTGTTAACACATGCCAGTAATGAAGGGAAGATTTGAAAATCCTTGCTGTTATAATAAAAGAAGCTAAGGTAAAACAATAAGTACCAGAGAGCTGATAGAAGAAGAAGAATCTGAGATTACACCATTCTATCAAGCATTTTTCTCCCTGTTGACCTGCACCTGCTTTTACAATAGTATGGTGAATTCATCATCAACAACATTGGACTACATCTTGATGTTCTGGTAGAGTGTTTGGCTAATAAACCAAAGGAAGCAATGATATCTGACAACAAATAGGATCAGAGAAATGTATATGCTATTCCATTAAAAAAACAACAACATGGTAATCTGAGAGATTTACCACTTGGTTGTAGCACTTAGCTAAAGAAAAAAAACATTACCTTTGCATCAGCTTTCAAATGTAAATTTTAATAATCTGAAGTTAATTGCAGTCATAGAATTAGAAGTAATTGTATTTAATTTGTAGTTCATGTTTAATTGTAGTTGTACTATTAAATAGATACTAGTATTTTATGCAAATATATAGCTATGGGCAAATTCAGGAAGTCAACCTGCACAAAATCACAACCTTACAAGATAACAATCCTGCAAAGTTCATTGGAAATGCAATAATTAATTTTTATATTAGTACACAAAGAGAAACAGAAGAGGATAAAATGCATGTAACTAAGTGTGATTTAATACTATGAATTGGAAAGTACTTAAAGGTAGGTGAAGTTATTTTTAGTGCATTGTTTTGACCAAACATTTTTTTTTTTGCTCTTTCTGTTGTGTTGTTATCGTTTTATATTAACAGTTACATAAGAATATTATTTTTTTAGGTTGCACAGGAAAGTGGAATTAGTATGTTACAAATACTAAAAAAATAATTTTGAATTATTAGAGTAAACAAATTAAAAAGTTTCCTGAAGTACCAAAATTATTGACTGACCTACAAGATAGTGAGGAGGAAGATGAAATACAAGAAATGGATAGTCTCTGATAGGGATTCGGCTTTGTTACGTTCAATTTTTTACGCTCATATTTGGTTATTGGACATAGTAGTTTAATTCAATCAGTTTTCATACCTAAGGCCACAGTTTATTTTGTTTGAATTTAATCTTTCATGTAATTTTGT